GGCAGCACAACAGAATTTTACAGGAATGAAATCTCTCCCTTCACACCGATCATGCATGTTTTACTTGAGTATTGAGTCATTAGCATGTTTATAATGGTTCTAATTTAGCACAACATTTTCTGAATTTTATCCTTGAGTCATTTACAAATTGTTCTTATTGAGTAAACAAAGGGAACAGATTGCATTTTATACTTAGCAATTTATCTGAAAGAAGAGGGGAGGGTTAATTGTTTTAAAGTTTTGGTCTGTTTGGGGAAGTGAGCCTGCTTTCTCATTGCTAGGCATAAACGCCTTACTTCTCATCTTTTTGGAGACAGGGCATGCTGTGGAGGAGGAAAATGAAGAATTAGGAGTAGGACAAGATTGGCCACTCCCACAGGGGAGTGTGGAGCACAAGGGGACTGGCACGAGATTATCCAAAACAGTTGGTGCATTCCTTAATGATCAAGTGCTTGAGAAGTCCAGTTCTTCCTGGCAGAGCACCGGTGTTGATGTTTAGACCACTGCCCTGCTGTATGGGAAAGGCATGCTTTCTCTTGCTACTTGCCTAAAAATAGGACGGGGTATAGCATTGTATGAGATATTTTAAGTTAGCAGAAACATTTAAGAGGTTAAAGGTTTGGCTCTTGGATCAGAAAAGCTCAGTGATATAGTGTGCACTGTTCTTTCCACACTGGATTTTCTGTGGAGCTGGTTGGTGATCTGCACACTGGGCTAGGGAAGTTATTTCTAGGTTTGTTTGGTTCAGTCTGAAAAACACACTCTGTGGGCTTTTCTGTCAGCTCCCAGCATGAAGAGCTTGGTTGAAAACAGACTCTATTTATACCCCTTGTTCTTATTTGGAAAGTCAGTTGTTTCATTGTGTGTGTGTGTGTGTGTGTGTGTGTGTGTGTGTGTGTGTGTGTAGGGGCAGTCATCATAGAGCATTGCTTTGTATGTTATAGTGACTTCAAAATAAAACTGGCACATTTTAGTGTCTAATTATTTTTAGTGAGCTTGGAGGGTTTTAATTAAAATTTAAGAGTGCTCTTCAAGCTCTCCAAGCTCCAATTTTATCCCACTGTATTGTGGAGCTCTTGCCACTGTGCAAAAAAACTGTACAGTAGCTGATAACTGTATCTGTATGTCCTTAATGAAAATGCTTGGGGCTGCTGAGGGGTGAATAAATGTACACTGTCAGGTTTCGCTGGAAACGAAAGCCATGAGCACTTCAGATAAATTATCAGTGTTTGTGAATACAGAGAAAGTGACTGCATCTGTAACTTATGTTTCTGATGGTAAAATAAAGGGATGCCTTTACTATTGTCTTAAGCACCACTAAAGCAAGAAGAAATGTGTATACAGGGACTGAAGCATTTGTTTCTTCACTAAAATATTTGAAAGTTATTTTTTGTGTCATGTTTGTGACATTTTAGCCCTCTGACTTTCAATATCACATGGAAGTGAAAGGAATAATAAGTGTTTACTTAAAGATAAACTGTCTCAGAGTATTATGAGGCATTTCTCATTATTCTGTCTTCTTCCTTGACTTTATTTATTTATTCTCTTGAACACAGAAGATATACCTTTATCACCTTTACCATAGTTATAAATCCCGAATACATATATATGTACATACGTATGCTCCAAGCTGAAAATGATTCCTAAAATATCGGTCTACAGATTAGGAGTTAATCCCACCTTGAGCATCTCTTCTTCCATAAAATTTGTTATAAGCCAGTGCATTAGCACACCATGGTAAGCATTTCCTTTACTTAGCCTAAAGTCTCAATTTCTAAGAAGCAGAACCATGTTGGCAATCTATTGTACAGCACATTTTAAATAAAAACAGTCCTAAAATGTATCTTTCTTTTGTTAGAAAAAGTTTAAAATAAGTTTTCTGAAAGATAAAAAGTTAAATTTGAAATAATAAGCAAACAGACAAAATCCCTACCCTCATCCCCAAAACCAGGCTGCCCAAAAATGTATACCTGAGTACTTGTCTAGAGCTGTGGAATTGTCACATCTTTGCTTCAAATAGAAACTAGCTAGAATAAAAACCCCATCATTCATAAAATAATAGGCAAAATAACCCGAGGCTCTGTGTTTCATTGAGTAGGTATTAGCTGATGGAATTAAACTCTCTCAGGGTGAGAGGGGTGAACTCTAGTCTCTGATGACATGCTACACAAATTTGAGGCACTGTAAGTTATGCCCATTTTTAATATTTCTATATTGTAGGGATACTATAATGTGTACTGTAGTATTATGATTCTTTCTCTCAATCTTGAAGAGTCATTTGGTTCTGTAGCTTCAGACAGTTTAATCACAGAAGTTGGAACAGTCAAACTTAAATAATAAAACTTATTGTCATTGTCTCCTTGAGTGGAAAGTTGTTTTCAAATTAATCAAAAAAAAAAAAAAAAAAAAACAATTTGTTCCATGACAGACCATAAACTATCCAGGGGACATTTGGGTTTTTTATCCCATCAGAATCACTGTGACTGTTGTATGGAGACACTGTTTTGTTCTTTGTATGTACATTGTAAGGGCTCGTTTGTATAGTTTTTCCTCTTTGATCTCTGAGGTTGTGCTAAATCACAATGGGATAATGTCTGCTCTGACCAGCTGCCTCTGTAAAGCTACCATCCTGTTGATGTGTAGGAAGGTTGTAGTAGAATGGGGAGGGAGCCTCACATTAAACCAGCATCCCTACCAAAATACTGAGTGTGCACTGGTCCAGTATTTTGACCTTTGACAACACAACTTTTCATATACAGCTTTGGACCTTTTACGTGTTTCCTTATCTCTGATCAGAAACTTCCAGTAACAACCAGCTTCTGACCCTTCGTACTCATCTCACTTGCTCTGTTCTACAGCACCAATGCGGTCCTTGATGGCTTGACAGGCAGATGAGGAGTCAAGAGACCGTGTTAATTTAAAGGCCTCTATGATTAAGATCAAAGGATGATAAAGTTGCATGTAGTGACTGCTAGTGACCTTAGATAAATATTATCAGTGGTTGTTATTAAATATCTTCTTGCCCATTAATGTAGACATACAAATCTGTTTTCTTTTTTCCTTCAGCTCTTTCTACTGAAGCAGGTGCTAGTGTAGCTGGATCTCAGCATTAGCAAGGATGGATGTTTTAGTAGATGTCAAATGCCTTGGAGCCTGCCTATGTGTAGCTTCTGTGTGAAGCTGACTGCGTTTATGCTGCAGTATACATTCTTGTTGTCCATAGAGCTATGTTTGTCTCTTATGGAGCTTCAGCATTCTTTCCTCGGATCTCTGGGGTATTTTGAGTCTATTTATAGAAATTAGAGACATGCTTTACATCTAGTATATATGTGTGCACTTGACCTGACTTTATAGCCATCCTTGATGTATTGGGGTTTTGTCTTATGGGTATATAATCTCAACTCTAGCTTAACCAGACATTTTGGACTCCAGCATCTGTGCCAGTGGGTATCAGTATAGTGCAATGATAGAACATACAAGAATGGGTAAAAATACATTAAGCTTTAGTAGAGTATAAAATTTAAGATCTTTTATTGATCTTTCTCATCTGTTATCTAATGTTAGCACCATCTTGCTCAGAAATCCCAAACTGATTAGAGAAACAAAAATGTCTAGCAGACATGCCTTTGAATATTTGAAGCCTCCTTAGCCCTATAAATTCAGTTTTAATATTGGAAAAAATATAGGCATCGAGCAAACTACATACCCCATTTATGAATGTGAAGTGGAAAGAAGTCAGGAAAGAGGCAGATGGCTTTCACTTAATGGAATTTCTATGTAGAAATGTCACAGGGTCCTGTGACAATGTCAGTCCATTCAGGACACTAGGATCTGGCTTCCATCCATTCTCTGATTGATTGATCTTGTCACAAACAAATGTTAATTGTTTTCAGCAATACTTTCTAATCATGTGAAGGTCTTCTCATCTCTTAAGCAAGGATCACTGCTTTCCCAAAGCTTATTTAGCCTCTAAAGCCCTGTAGAGACATCTTGACCTAACTGTCAATCTGAAAAATTCAAGGCCGATTTGGAAGCTAGAGGAGAAAAACAGAAAGAGAAAATGCTTAAGAGATAGGTGCTGATATGGGGGAGAAAAAGCATTTGGAACTGGAGAAACCATTTTAGGTATAATTTTAAAAGAAAATTATCAAAACTTTGACACTTGGAATGCTAAAGTTTAATGGGAGTTTTAAAATCTGCATTCCCTGGAAATGTAGCCTATTTGTTAAGAGTTGAGTCTGGAAAAGGTACATGCAGACAGTTGTAAGCAGGAGGCCTGCTTGCAAATCCATCTGAAGCCAGAGAAGAAAACAGTGCATGTAGGAAAAAATAGATCATTATTATGGTGTTCTCATGTTTATATTTCTGTAATCTTATGAATCTTTATAAAACAAATGTAATTGCTCCCTGTAGTCTAGAACATTATTTTAACATGTGCTAGGACAGATGATGCTATTTAAACAAGTGTTTTCCTTAAAAAACATGTGTGTTGTTTTTATATAAAAGTTTTAGTAGATTTCACTATGAGGGTACAAAGAGCGTCTTGATTTTATTTACTTGTCTATTATTTAGTTTTTCGAAAGTTGGATTTCCTTTTTTAAGGGCCAAGTGGTTACAGGTCAATTGGCCTCTTCTCCCTTAACAATTTATCATTGTTCCTTGTATAGCATATAAAATTTGCTTAGACTTTTAAAATATAACCTGGGCTAAAAGAACTATCATATAAATTTAAAGCTGTAGGGGAGAACCTTTATTCTGTCTGATCAGTCTGATAAGTGATAAACATTGATTAAATATCCCTAGATTTCAGCTGCTAAGTGTGGGTTATGGAACACTACCACCTGGATCAGTGGTTTACCTCAGTCATGGTGTTTTGTAATAGAGTAATGGTAGAATTAAAACAACAGCTTTTGTTTGTTTCCCAAGGGCCAATTGCTCCATCATCTAGCTCTCTGGCTCTGTAATATACATTTTTAATACTTACTTTTGTATTTTAATAGATTCCTCCTGCATGGAAAAACTACTTTCAAAAGATTGGAAGGAAAAAATGGAAAGACTAAATACGAGTGAACTTCTTGGAGAAATCAAAGGTAAAATATAAAAAGTATCATATGTGTCAGATGTTATTTCACATACCCCACGAAGCTGCTATTCTTTGTGCCAGGACTCTCAACTCTTACTTCTAAACTAGGTTATTCTTGGAAAAGTAGGTGTGACACATTCCTGAATGTCTTCTCTATAAGGTGTACACTATGGACATTTGCGGTCTCTCATATAACTATACAAACTACCTTGTGAATTTGCTTGATTAAAAATGATGGAGGCAAAGTTTTGTAAACAGTGCAGAGCAGTTTAAAGATATCCCATCTTTTCTCTTAGAATCCTAATAGTACCTCAGTTTATAGATTGAGGTTATTTATGTGAATTTCTCTTGCTGGAAAAAGATATCCATGAAAAGCAGATGGAATATGCACGCCCTGCATCACATTTTATGGCTGATTTCTGAGACCTATTTACCTTGGTTCCTATCCCACCTCTATCGTTATGAGTAGTTTTGTCAAAGCACTGGGTTTTTCTGTTTTGTACTCCCTGTCCCTATGGAGGTGATAAGAGCATCTACTCCTAAGCTCCTTGGGAGAGTTGACACATGGGAAGGACCCACACCTGTAGCACTCAGCAGAGTACTGGGGCATGCAGGTTACAGGGATGGTTATTGTTGATGTGCCCAGAGAATTGGGAATCGATTCGGAGCAAAGAGAGTTCTGGGACTTGGCACTTCTTGCTCTTGGACTCCTAGAATATCTTTGTTTTCTAATTTATTTATTGTTGTGGTTTCAGGAACTGAACTAAACAAGAAGTAGGCAAGGTGCTAGGAAGCCCTATAGCTTCACCCCCTGCCTGTATGTCATTCTTCTAAAATATTAAGACATGGAGGAGTACAGTGTATTTCAGCATTGCATTAGCCTGTGAGTAAAAACATCTGTGCTTCTGGCCTACTCCAGCTCTTCTTGTGGACTCCTGGAGAAGAAGTGTTACAGTCTTTCACTTCTGTGCTGTGAGAGGAAGCCAGGCCACCTAGTAATGCTGCCAGTCATCTCTCACAGATTTCCACACTCAGTTTGCAGGAACAAACACTTCAGGGACTTAATCCCACTAGTTCTCTGCATTTACCAAACAAATTTGGGTTGTTTAGCTTCAGACAACCATTTGGTAGTAGGTATCTCACGAAAATGTTATTTTTAATTTATCACAGAAAGTTGGTAGATCTCTGTCCCATTCAACTTGAATGCAGAGAACAGTTGTCCTTTCATGATGAGTAATTAATAATTCATTCCATTAACTAACAGAGTGTCAAAATCAAGTGGAAATGGAACGTTATTTTGAACTTTACTGCTTCTGCTTTGTACTCATAAAGGCCATTTGCTATTTTGGAAAAAAGGAATCTCAACATAACTGATGGGTAGAAAGAAAAGTCATTAGTGACATATTCTCCATCCAGCTGCAACAACACAGGCTGTGTGACTTCACACGTCATTTTGTGTTTTCTTCTCTTTCCAGAGCCATTGGTTTTATAACAGTGAGGACAGGAATGGCTTATGCAAAGGCAAGCGTTTGCCAACATGAGTGATGGGGGTCTTGCTTTCTCCTAGCAGCATGGAAGCTAACACTTTATTATCTCCTTGATAATAAACCCTGGCTTTTTATACACTTCAGGGTATGTTTTCCCATACCTTTCACTTTTGCTTATACTTAATTCTAATTATGAGTTTAAAATAAAAAAGCATAAGTTTTAGATGCTCAAAATGTGTAATTCTCAAAAGTGAAACATGCAAAATCAAGCCTTTGCACCCCATTTCTCTGGAGGTCTTATAGGTTATGTGAGCTTCCAATGGTGAGCTAGTTTGAATTTTATAGACATAAATGATAATATTATTACTGAATTTTCCATTTAACTTGTTGTACATTTTATAAATGTAAAATTTCATACATTTTAGCATGTTGTCACTATACATATTACCTACAGAAAATATAGCAATCATACATTAATTTAGACATTAAAAATCTTAGCTAAAGTGGTTTGATTTAGCTGTTGCTGAGAGAACACACCTTTTTGTTGTTGTTGTCCTGTGTGTGACTTGGCCAGCTGTAGTCCTGCATTTGGTACTATTTCTCTGGGATTTAAAGATTATCTACAATATATCTCTTATATACTGTTGTGGGTTATCAATATTTCCTATCTCAAGCATTATGTCTCAGTAGGTCCTATTTTCCCCTGATTCCAAAATTTGTACATATTTATTTGTAAGAAACAGAGTATAACACACAATAAAAACAGAAGCCTTCTTTAATTCTGCATAAATCCTGTGGTGCAGTCTTCTGTTTTAGTTTTCATCTGTACCCTAAGTTTTGTATAAAGTTAGTACATCCCCTGTGAGCTGCTTCTCCTTAGTGTGGGTTTTGTGTGGATAGGCAACCTTTAAAAATCATTATTGGCAAACATGTGGCATAAAGTGAAGCTTCCTTGAGTCAACCAGGTATTTGATTCAACACCAAGTTGCTCATTTCCTTCTAGAGGACTTGTCCAGAGCTGGCCGGACTGTCAGAGCTAGAGAGCCCTTGGGTGTATTTAATAGCATGACATCTTGGCGCACACAAGTCTGTCTTTCTTTCCCTTAACTGCCTGACTCTGTTGCAGTTTGTTGTGCAGGCTTCTCCTACTCTTGAGATTAGATACTATTTTGCCATATTTTCTCCCAGTTAGTTGGTTCTGTGTTGAAGTGTTTAACCTTTTCTTCCCTTTTGAATATATTTGATGTATTATGTCAACTAGAGTTATAGTTTTTTTAAGCAGTTAAAAAATAACATTATACACTATGACTGAATTCACAGATCTCTTTTGACTGGGTATAGTATCTTTCCTTAATTATGCACTTAGAACCATTTATATAAACTTTGACTAGTACTTTAATAATTATTAATATAGTATATTTCACATTTACCATAACTTTTATCAAAGGTATTTTCATACTTTTCTAAAGTTTACCTTGGATTGTTTTCTATCAGTGTGTTAATTAACATTCCTAAATGTTTTAAAATTATATTTAAATAAAATTTTGGGTAAACAGAAATCTTTATAAAATTGTATATTTTAATTAAGAATGATTTATTCAATTCTTTTTTGAAGATTATTTATTGTGTGTGTGTGTGCGTGTGTGTGTGCGTGTGTGTGTGTGTGTGTGTGTGTGTGTGTGTGTGTGTGTGTTGCCTGCATGTATGTGCATGCAGTGCACATTGTGGCCCAAAGAGAACACTAGACTCCCCTGGAACTGGAGTTACAGATAGTTGTGAACCACCATCCACCATGAGGATGCTAGGAACAGAACTTAGATCATCTACTATAATGCTCTTAGCCACCGAGCTATCTCTCCATCTCCTTAATTAATTCTTGTGTGTTCCTCAGGAAAGATTTGGTTTAAATTCTGCACATTTCCTTTTGTGTTTTATCCATATTTGAGATATAATTAATCTTACTTTTTTGTTACTATATTTAAAGATTATACTAAGTTTTACAAATTAATTTTGCTGGTTCAGTATATGTTTCTCTTTTTACTGGGCTTACTACGTCTAATCATGTTGTAGATGATAAGAATGACTCTTTGTCTCATTACTTTATATCACATTACCTAGGCTGCTAAGAACATTATTGAGCAATGGAGTCAGTAGCAAATATTTTGACATAATTTTTAATTTATAGTGTTGGTTTTAGTATTCCATCCTTTGTATTGAGATAACCTAATTTATTATTGATATACCATCTCATCCCAGGCTGGCCTTGAATTTATAATACTCAAGGATGACCCTGAACCCTTGCCTCCCCTGCCTCTACCTTCCTTATGCCAATGACAAGCATGTACCACCATGTCTACACCAGTTATTCTTTCCCATTAACAATATACTTGTAGTTCCTTAGAACTCACTATGAGGAATTGTGTTATGCTTCATGGCACACCTTGCTGGTTTGGGGGTTTTGAATTTGTTGTGAAATAAACTCAGTTTAATTGTGGGGTAGTGTCCTCCAAATGTACTGCAGGATGAATCTCTCATAAATTGGCTGATTTATTTATATAAATAAATAAATAAATATATATATATATATATATATATATATATATATATATGATGGCATATATAATGTACAGATGTACATATTATATAACATTACTTCTGGAATTCAAAGTAGGATGGGCCTTTTCTCCCCTTTTTAAGTTAATATAAAATAGCAAGTAGATTATACATATACTATTTCTTTCTTTAGATTCTGAATAATATATTCAGAAAAACACCAAAGCCTAAAACCTTTTTCTACTTTGTAAGGTCAGTTTTGTCATAATTTTTTTCTAAAATCATATTGATTGTGAGATTTTCAAATGTGTTATTATTCATTTATTGTTCAGCATCTGTCATTTCAGGTCTTCTGGGTATTTTCTGTTACATATCTGAATTTCACTTTTGCAAATTTGTTTTTTCCTTTTGTCTTTCCCATTCCCTGGCAGTAGTTTTCTACATTTACCCATGACCCTTGAAGAGGTGGTGTCAGGGCTTGTGTCTTGGTGCCACCCCCTTTCAGCACACCACTCACATCGCCTTGATTCTGTTTTCACTGTTTCTTCATTATTTTAGTCATATTTTTGTGTGTTTTTATATACTCTAACTCCCCACATTCAATGCTTAATTTAAAAACTTTTAAACTTAATAATAAAGGCACTTGGTTGTGAGTATGTTTCTATAAATACCTTTATGTACCCCCCACTGCGTGCTTTTAGAATTTTTTGTCATTTTATGACTATTTAATAATTACCTGATTTGCTAACTAATCTATATTTATATATTTTCTGTAACTTTATATTTTATTTTAAAGTCATACAGTATAACAAAGTTTTTGAAAGGGAGGAACAGCCACATCAATTCTAGTGGAATATTCAAGAACTAGAGCGCAGAGCAAAAAAGTGGGGGCCATAGAATAGATAAGAGAATATTGAAAAATGAACCTTCAATCCAGAGACCTTAATATTCCCACACAACTAAGAAG